AGCTTTGGGAAGGCTTGAAAAAGCATTTATTTCTTTTGACTGTGTTTACTCTTGGCTTGTCATATGCTTGTCAAAGTATTTTCCATGTGCTAATAATGCTTATTATTATTATTATTATTATTATTATTTTTTTTTTTTGGTACCAGGGATTGAACTCTGGACCTTGTGCTGGCGAGGCAGGCGCCAGAACCACTGAGCTAAATCTCTGGCTATTATTATGATGATGATTATTATTATTACTATTATTTTGGATACAGGGTCTCTTTATGTAGTTTGGCTGGCCTTAAACTCACTGTGTAGCCCAGCCTGGCTTGGAACTTGTGGTGATCCTCCTGCCTCAGCCTTCTGAGTGCTGGGATTATAGGCATAAACCACCATGCCTGGCTTTAATAATGGTTATTAAAAATAAGATTTCCAGTGGTAGTGAAGATGCATACCTGTAATCCCAGCCTTTTGGGAGGCTGAGGCAGGAGAATTGCAAATTCAAGTCCTACCTGGGTAACTATCTAAAAAAACAGACTGGGGATGTAGCTTAGTGAGAACTCTGGGTTCAATTCCCAGCACTGGAAAAATAAAGAGAAATATATCTTCTTGCTTCATTAATATGTGTGTTGTGAGCACCTTTTCATAGAACGTATGTTTTATGGAGTCTTTATGGCATTTTAAACTTGCAAATGCTGGGCCAGTGCTTTACCACAGACCTACACTCAGAGAGTAAACTTTAAGGAGACAGAAAGAAATAAGAAACATCCCTTTCCTTGTGACCTGTCAGGCAGACAGGTGTATCAAAATAATGGAAAGTGTGACAGATGGTGGATTCAGAGAATGAAGCTCTTCACGTGGCCTGTTATGGGACAGGTAATTTGGGATGGCATGGGGTCTTCAAGAATGAACAAAACACACTTAGAAATGGTTGAAATGGTGCATATGTAGATCACAATAAAATTTTTTTTTAAATCGCTTGCATGTTGAGGCTTATCATTTCACTTTTTTTTTTTTTGGTACTGGGAATCAAACTCAGGACCTTGTGCTTGCAAGGCAGGTGCAGTGCCACTGAGCTAAATCCCCAGCCCTGTTTCACAATCTTGCAACTATGTGATGTGGAAAGCCAAGACAGACACTAGGGACACCACAAAGAGAAAAGCAAAGGCACATTGGCCAACACTCACATTCATATAAGTGAAATCATCTTAGTCCTTCGACCATTTGAGCCACCATCTGATGGCAGCTGCGTGAGCGTGCCTAGGCACGACTGGCAGGAGAGCCACCCATCAACCCACAAGATCTGGAGAAATAAGCAGTGGCTGTTTCTTTAAGCCAGTAAAAAAATGAATAGGAGTTTACTGAGTGGAAAGAGAAACTGAAGTGTGAGCAGGATGCAAGGGAAGAAAACACCCAAGGGACTTGACCCCTGCTGTCCATGTTGGCATGCCAGCTACCAGAGATAACATTTGTGGAACACTTCCTGGGTACCAGGCCCTGTTCTAAGGAATCTCCATGTAGCACTTCACTAGGTCCTCACAACAACCTAGATGAGGGAACAGAGACACAGAGAAGCCAAGTAACTTGTTGAAAGCCACACAGCTAGTAGGTGTCTTTGAGCTTCTGCACATCATCCTCCTTCTAGTCCTGAGAACCAGAAGAAAAGGCACATCTAGTCCCTAACAGGACTTCCTGTCCAAGCTAGAGATGAAGGTTCTGAAGCCTGACTGTCACAGGTATGCTGAGGGGTGGGTCGCTCCACCCTCATGGCTGCTGGAGTCACCATCAGCATGGCATTATTTTTGTGTGTGTGTCACCTCTCATGGTCCTACTGTGGGGCACCCCTGGGTCAGGAGACAAGTCAGTACGTACTTTGCTCATTTTTCCCCTGTAGAACTGGGGCTTGAACCCAGGACCTTGCTTATGCTAGGCAAATGCTCCACCACAGAGTTATATCCCCACCTTTTTAATTTTTTTATTTTGAGACGGGGTCTCACTAATTTGCCCAGCTGGCCTCAAACTTGCAATCCTCCTGCCTCAGCCTTTCCAGTTGCTGGGATTTCAGGCATGTGCCACTGCACTTAGCTTGTGCTTTGCTCTTTAATGCCACTTCTGCCCTCTGATCCAACTCCTGCTTCTTGGAGGCGCATGCCATCTACTCAGTTTTTCCTCATGGATGCCCCGTACTGTTCCTTGGGTGGAGAATAGCTTGGGAAGCACCTTGGGCTTCCTTTCACTCCAGCTGTCTATGATCCTGGGAGCTTTGAGGTCCATGAGCATCTAGGTTCCTTGACTGTCTCATCTTCAAGGATTTTTTTTTCCTCCACTCCACTTGAACCAGGAACCCACTCACCTGGCTCTTCATTTGACTTTGTTGGTTTAAGACAGTGGTCCTCAATCCTTTTGACACCAGGGATGGATTTCATGGAAGACAATTTTTTCACAACCCTGGGGTTGGGGATGTGGAGAGGTGGGGCTGAGTGAGTGGGAAGGTGAAGGGGTGGGGGATGGGTTCAGGATTAGATTCTCGTAAGGAGCTAGTGCAACCCAAATGCCTCACATGCGCAGTTCACAGTAGGGTTCACACTCTTCATGAGAATCTAATGCCACCCTTGATCTGACAGGAAGCAGAGCGCAGGAGGTACCTGGAGCTGTAAATGCAGATGAAGCTTCCTTTGCCATCTGCCACTCACCTCCTTCTGCGAACCCCCTATTGGTCTATAGTCTGGAGGCTGGAGGCCCCTGGGTTAAGATATCTTACTCTGATGATAACCTCCATCTCTCTGCCTTGCTACATCAGTGACTTGCTTTACAACTGTTCTGAGATCTCCTTACACCTGTCCGGGAAAAAACCATCTTTGGATTAATCCAATTTCTCTCTGTGTGTGTTTTCATCTTGACAGCTCAAGCTAGCTACGGAAAAATCACATGAATCATTTTGTTCATATCACCATAAATTCAGAGTTTCCATTCTCCTTCAGGCTTTCACTACGGTCTTTAAAATTTTGCCACATCCCTGCATGTGGAATTGCCACTGTAATTATTTCAAACCCAGTCAAACTTGAGTGTAAGCTTCTCAAGGGCAGACTATCTGGCTTCTTCTTAACTGAATTTCGAGTGCACAGGACAGATTAATACATAATAGGCACTCAGTAATTATGTGTTTCCTGACTGAGGTGTAGTAACAGTGTCATGAATTCAGTAAATGCTAGACACAGGCCAGGTTCTATTCTGTGTGAGTTATACATATTAGCTCATTTAATTTTTACAACGAAATTAGCTTAGTTAGGTTTGTCATTTCCATTTTATACATAAGAACATCTAGAGAGGCAGCGTGGAGAGATGAAGTCATAAAACCAGTAAGTGGCAGAGTGAGTATTTCATCTTTACAATCTACAAATGTTTAGCAGTCCAGTTGAATTCAGTTTTAGACAAGTTTATTTTTATGTGTCTGAGGGGCAATCAGGCAGCTGGGTTTCAGATTGAAGCTCAAGAGAGTGGAGATTATGGAGAGTCAATCCAGGAAAGGGGCTGGGGTGTAGCTAGTGATAGAGTACTTGCTTCCCATGCACAAGGACCTGAGGTCAGTCCTTTGAGAGAAAGAGGCGTCTAAGAAGGGACAGATAATCTGGTGACCTCAGCAAGTGGAACATCCAACCTCGTTTGCACCTATTGCTTTGGGACAGCGCCTCCAACAGGTCTCCGATGGAACTGCGGTGGTTTGGGTCTGTGTATTTGGGTGTCAAGGCCTTTCCCTTTAACAGTTTGAGGTAAGAGTCCAATCACATATGTGAAAATGGGTGGACCCATGATATATTAGTTGGTGACTTTAAAAACTGGGCAAGGGTCCCCCATGAGCTGAAATTCAATCTTGACGTTTGCTAAATGCATTTTGGGGGGGGGGGGGAGCAGGGATCAAACTCAGGACCTTGCCCTTTTAGGCCGGCGTGGACCACTGAGCTAAATCCCCGGTTGCTAAATGCTTTGAGAGATTTCTCAGGTAGGAAAACATTATCATTTCCCTGCATAAGCCCCCTTTCCCACCTTCACCATGGCTTTTGCCACTGATTCCAGAAAGACAGAGAAAAACGGAGTGCCTGTTTGGTGCTAAGTCTTCTTATATCTCACCAAAACCTTCCGGCAGTTCTTGAATAAGATTATCATCATCATCTGGGCAACTTAGTGACTTAGTGAGACCCTGCCTCAAAATTAAAGAAAGGGCTGGGGATGTAGCTCAATGTGAAGGTGCTGGGTTCACCTCCAGAAAAACTGTTATCATTTTCCATTTACATGTAAGAGAAACAACTAACGCTGCATGCTTATTACGTGTCAGGCACAATAAACATGAGGTGTGTTTTTTTAAACATCATCCATCGTCGTCCTATTCAGTTCTCTCAACAATTGTGGGTATGAAAGCTGAGTCTTAGAGGGGAGGTGCAGTGTGCTAAGACACACAGCAAGTTAGAGTTGGCGTCTGAACTCATGTCTGCCCCCACTCCCCAGTCCGGTGATTGAACCTAGGACCTAGGACATACTAGGCAAGCGCTCTATCACTGAACTGCATCTCCAGCATTTAAAACTTTTTTATTTTGAGGCAGGACCTCACTAAATCGCCTGGGAAGGCCTTGAATTTGCTATCCTCCTGCCTCGTCCCCCAGAGTAGCTGAGATTACAGGTGAGCACCACTGCACCCTGCTGAACCCCTACTTCTTTCTGATAAACTGCCTCGTCACTTATTTCTGGATAAACTGAGAGGTTTTCTCCGTGGAAATGGGAAGAAAATATTTGACAGAGATCTTTAAAACTGATTTGTGCCGTTAGGCAAGCCCAGGGGCCGGTTTAACTTGCCCGAACTCCGCGTCAATCTCAGTCGCCGGACTTTGCCAGAGCCGGAGAACGGGGCGCATGCGCGTGGCCCCCCCCGGCCCCGCCCCCCGGGAGGGCGCCGCTCCTTGCTCCCGGCTGTGGGGCTTGCGCACTGAGTCCCCAGCCAGAAGCTCCTTCTAGGTTGGGGACTTCCGGTGCGCGGGGGTGCGGTTCCGGGTCGTGGCGCGGCTCGGGGCTGAAGGGCCGCTGCTCGGCCGGCTGGCGGCGGGGAACAGCGAGGGCATGAGGGCGAGTCCAGGCAGGAGCAGCTGAGCGGGCCGGTAGGACACCGGTCCTTGAGAATCCTGAGAGTTCAGAGTTCGGGGCAGGGGCCGGGAGGAGTGGGGAGCCGGGCCCTCTCCTCAGGAACGTGTCCTGGGGCCGACCGGGCCCGTAGTGTGGAAGCAGCTTCAGGTAAAGGTTGTCCCAGCCGTTAGCTCGTCCACCCGCGGGATTTGGCGACCCCCTCACTGTCCCGCTCTTGGCACTGCCCAGCGGGCCGCCTGTCAGGGCCTTGCTCAGGTGGCCTGGGAGCCTTCGTTTCCTGACCCTTTCCAGAATCGGAGGCGCCCCGAGCCTGACAGCTGGCTGTGTGACTTAGGGAAGGAGCAGCTTGTGGACCTGGAAGAGTTGGGGTGGGGGTGTGGGTGCAGTTGGCTCGGGCAGTTTCTGGCCCTGCGCTAAGCATTATCAGAGTGCACTTATTTGCATAATTTAAAATCAAGTTTTAAAGCATTGCTGGTGTAGTCCCTGTTTTCTGGTGCTCATTTTTTCAAGGCCCCAAAGGAGTAAACAGAGCCTCACAGATGCGTTTCTACAGAGTGCTGCTAGAACTTTGATTACGCTTTTTTTTTTTTTTTTTTTTTTTATGGGAGTGGCAAGGACTGTTTAAGAATGAGCAAGAAAAAGGTTATAGTTTAAACAAGGGTATAACTTTAACTAGAGACCCCAAAATTGACTCAGAAGTTGGTTAAAACTTCATTCTGAATGAGTGCAAGTAATTTTTGAATGCTGACATGGTACCTGGCACTGTACGAAGCACCATGTTGTTATAAACCCAAATCAGTAAAGTTCCAGAGTTTCCCAGGTGTGAACAGTCAAATGGAAAGACAAATCAGTTTAAAGAGTGTAAGGAGTCAGCATTCTCATTCTATGTTGACCAGCAGATGTTAAAACCCTAACGTTAAAATCCATTGGAGCAGAAAAAGAAGCACCAGGTTGTATTCTCCATGTTCTGTGGGCCCACACGAGGTACTCAGAGTGTGCTAAAGAGTTCTTGATAAAGTGATAATTGTTTACATCTTTTTCAGTTTTACATACCTGCAAGCTGCCTGAGTCTGAGGCTTCCCAGTGGCCCCTTTTTCCATTTGACTGTGTTCATGCCTGTCTTCAACTACTGTGTATACCAGACTAAACTCCTACTTCTCTACACCTTCCAGTCTGGCTCTGGCTCTCTTTCCAGTTATGCTTACAAAGATCCCCACGGTGATCCCTTACTCTAGATAGGTAGGAATCACCTTTGATCTTTCCTATGTCCATTTTTTTTCCTTTTTTTTTGGTTGGGCTATTCTCTCTGCCCCACTTAGAAGCTTTTCCCCCATTTTTGTTTCTGCTTATTGAGGTGGTACCTATGGCCTGCCTGAAGTGGCCCTCCTCAATCAATTTAGGACAGTCCCAGCTTGAAAGGGACTTCTTGCTTATTTAGAATACAATAAATATTAGATATTCATTTAGCAAACATTTACCAAGTACGGATATATGCCAGGTACCTTATTAGACAATTTAGAGATAAATAAAATGGAATCTTGGTGCCAGGGAGCTCAATTTAATGAGAGAGATAAAGAAATTAATAATCTCAACACAGTGATAAATACACAGAATTCTTTTTGTGATACAATAGTAATATAGTGTGTTAACTTCTCAGAGGTGAGATATGGTTTGGGAATGTTTCATAATATGAGGTAAAGTCAACTTTGGTATTTACTACATATTACATGTAGGTTTCTCTTGTTTAATAATTTTTTTTTTTGCGGTACCGGGGATTGAACTCAGGACCTTGTGCTTGTAAGGCAGGCGCCGCATCACTGAGCTAAATCCCTGGCCCTCTTGTTTAATAATTTTAACATCAATTTACAGGTTAGGAAGACATACATTACACAGCTGGTGTAAGACAGAACCAGGAATCAAGCCCACATCTATCTGATGACCCAATCTGTGCTTTTCCCATTCCTTGTCTTGCCTTCATCCTCATACCATAGCTGTCCTTATAGGAATACATACTGAAACAGCTCTACAGGAGAGAAAATATGAGTGTTAAAATGAATAGTATGGAAAATCTTTTAAAGTTAGCTAAGACTGTACTCTTCCAACTGAAGAGGTGATAGGTGTGTCATTTCTATTTCCAATGAGCAAGGAAGGCAGTTTGTAGAGAAGAAACATAGACTGTAGATTCAGTTCGTGTCCTTCTTCTTATTAGATGAGTGGCTTTGGCAAGTTTGTCTCATTTTTTTCAACTAGAAGTTGGATGGGGGATAATGTGGACATTAGAGAGTATTGTGAATTTTTTTTGTACTGGGGATTGAACTCAGAGCCTTGCGCTTTTGAGGCAGGAGTGGTGCCACTGAGCTAAATCCCTGGCCCAGTATTGTGAATGTTTAATGACCTAATTTGGGTAAAGTGCCTGGTACAATTTGAGCAGACCTAATCCCAAATCCATAATACTTTAAAATCTGAAACTTAAAAAAATTTAATAAAATTTTTTAATTAGTATATGTTTGTAGCACATAATGATTACATTCATCTTGGGGACTTGGTACATGTACATAACATATTTTTTAATTATTTTTGCTTCCCCTTCTTGCCCCTCCATCGCTTGGTCTACTTTCCATTTGCAAAGGATCTGTCTCCTTGTCTTCTGTTATCTTTTTTTTTTTTTTTTT